AATATTCCATTTTTAAACAATTACAGACTCCAAATGTGACATAGTTAATAGATTTCATGTCTCCCCTAATTTTCTTACCATTTTTAATCAGCATTTAAATGATTAAAAACTAAGGCTTCCAGGTTTATTCCTGAAGTGAGAACTGCCTGTAATTGCTCCACGTTTGTTCTAGCAGAGTTTACAGGAATGACCTCTTGTTCTCTGTGCCCTTCTTTTTCTCCTTTATACCTCTCACACCCAACTCCAGTAGCAGTGTGCAGTTTGATGACAGCATTGATTGCAGTCCCGGGCAACTCAAGAGTATCTTGGGAAAGCCCTGTTCTATGAAATGGGTGTCAATACTCTGAGTAATGTATATTAGAATCTCATAAAGGACATTTGTGCAGATTATCTCATTTTATAGTATGGTGTCTGCTCTGCTCTTTATGCTTCCTATTCTTTAGACCATTTATAACTGGAGAAAACATTTCTGTGTATTACAATGGTGGGTATTTCAAATAGAGGATGGCAAATCATAGGATACATCAAAGTCTGGACTTTGAATATTACAGAAATGTACTGATGTGTCAAAATGTGACAAGTTCTCTGCAAGTTCTGTGCACTGTTTATACCCAACCTTAATAACAAGCATAGCCTATGTGGACTTGGATTCACTGATCTGGATGCATTTGTTTACTTGAATTTTACTGGAAAGTTGAACTGTGAACCTACAAGTTTAAAATGTGAAAACGAAGAACAATAGAAGTAGTCATGAAGAACTCCTATGTTGATAGCAGCTCTGGGAACTGGGTGAAGAAGTGGGCAGAGAAAGAAAGAATAGAGCAAAAGAAAGTGATTCCTCTAACAGCTTTAATGCTACAACTTTGAAGGCTGAGGACAATCAAGGCTAAGGGATCAGTCAGTTGGATACAGATATGGGTTTAAAGGAAAAACACTATTTCCCATACTCCAAGAAATGTCTCTTAAGGCATTAGTGTGTAAATATTACTGTAAATACCCAGAACCCTCCAAAAGAACTCATGTGCAGGAAGTTATCAAAATATAAGTTCTCAATAACAGCTTAAGTAGAGAGATATTTTAGAACAATGAAGTCAGTGCTATGAAAAGTATCTTCTACTCAGTATGCATCCATCAAGAAGATCATCATAAAGCATCAGATATGATTTTAGCCCACATTTGTTAAGGGGATTATTGGTTCATGAGAAAAGAAAGTTATGCAATTTTTATGGCGATTTGTCATTTGGTGCTTTCAAGAACAAAGATGCCAGTCTTGACAAACGCCACTTAAATCTCTGCTCTGAACCTATCTACATTCAAGGGATGCTTATTAATGAATCACAGGCTTCCATGAATCCAATAACTCATTTCCAAATGTCAGCCACCAACCAGCAGTATGAAATGACCACTATTTTATTCTGACCTGAAATGTGTGACAATGCGTGAATGACAAGATTTTCAGGTTCCTTGCTGATCTTTTTTTTACACTGTTCACTTCTCCAAATCTAGCTTGTGGGGAACTCAGCTTCCTTCAGAATCACCTCCAGCCACGCCACTGTTTCCTCAGTAGGTGTCCTGCCACAGCACACTTCCCACCCCAGTTCTGTCTGCTTGCAATTGTCACCTGCCAAGCAAGACAAATAAGTAAGCAAGCACATGTGTCCTTTCTTATGTTCTTCCCCCAAATACATGCAGTCCCCACAAGGTGGCAGAATTGTAACATGTTGAGATTGATGAGCCTCTGTTGCGATCCTGATTTTTTTTTCCTGTTGTTTTAACACATTTCAGCAACCAGTGTTTCCAAAATAACACAAATAAAACATCACGTCCATTAAGTTGATATTTCCCCTCAAGCTCACATTAGCTGAGAAGGGAAAGATTAATTTCTCAATGACCATTCTTTAAAAGTTCCTTAATATCACCTCATCAGAAGGTCTTTTCCTACCTCTTCTCTTGCTTAGCTACATTTCCTTGGGAAGCGGGGTTGAAAACATCCTTACAGACAAGATGGTTTTATTCTTATGCAAAGCACAGCACAATTCCTTTTCCATCTCACATGTTTCCCATTAAAATGATAGTAGCTAAGAGACAGGCATTTGACCTGCTAGTCAGAATGCCCTCACTCTGCATTGCAATGCTTGGGGGTGGGGGAGGGGAAAGGAGGGAGTCTAGGTTCTACTCCAATCCCAGCTTCCTTCTCATGCGCCCCCTGTGAGGAGGAGGTGATAGCTCAAGTAGTTGAGGACCCTGCCACCCACATGAGTTCCCCGATCCCTGCTCTTGCCACTGTGGGCATTTGGGAGGGAATCAGAGGATGAGAGTGCGTGCTCACCCTCTTTCTCAAAAACTTAGTGTTAGGAGGTAAATAAAAGCTTGAGCTGCAGGGTGAGTGACTCCACCCTGGGGGAGATGTAGAAAGGAGGAAGGGAGAAGTATACTAAACAGCAGGCAAACTGCTGGAATGGTGCTGCCCCACACTCACCCTCCAAACTGACCTGGTTCTGACCCATCCGGGGAAAATTGTGCAAGGAACACACAATACAATCTATCTCCCCTTTAACCAAATAAGAGGAGGGAATCTAGATTAGCACCAAAATACTGGCATACTAGAAGTCATTGTTTTCTTCCCATTTAATCCAAAAACCCTCTTTGATGGACACCTCTGAGACTTTTTATAAAGGTGATAGTTTATTAAAGCAATATTGATGATATCCATCCTGATGCAAATCCATGATAGAAAGCATCAATTTGGCTATCCTAAAAGAAACGAAAAATGAGGTTTTTCTACCTCGAGGTTACCTATCAGTTTGTTACCATTCTCTTCTGTAGCACTGGCCGAGCTGAGAACAGCCTTGCGTCTGCTCCTCTTGAGGCTTCCTGTGCAACAGTAAGATGGGACAGACACAGACACACACACACACACACACACACACACACACCCAGCAGGCACTTTCTACCTACGTTCCCAGGAGGTGTGTCCTGTTATCTTCAAAGGACCTTAACAAAGCTCCTGTCTTTTCTGGTCAAAACTTTTAAGTTGGGCCTCTCCCCAGTCAGCAGATCCAATAGAATGTGACCAAGAGCTGCTGCCTAGCTCAGAACAAGATGTGGAAACACGTGTCCAGTCTACCAACAAGAGAAGTCATCGCGGTGTTTGGGAAAGACAAAAGCTCTCCACAACATCAAGCTGCTACCGATAAAGGACGTCATCTTTACAACTGCCCCTTTGGTCCTTTACAAAGTCAAATTAGAAAACTAAGTCTATATTAATATTTACATATTGTAACTGGGTGAGTGACAGACATGGCAATCACCTACCGGTGTTTTTCTTTTAGATAATACATTACTGTTCCCTAATTCCTGTGCATCTAGTAACCTTTCCAGCCCTGCGACTCTCAAAGCAGAGAGTTTGGAGATGCTTTGGGTGGAATTCTGCCCCCAGTGGATTCCTGGCCGATGAGATTCTCTTAGAGATGTCTGAGGACTGCAGGCTACGTCTGTTTGTTGAGATGGTCCTCCGTACAGGAAATAGCATGAGCGCTTAAAAAATGATCCCAATTCTATTAATAGCCTCACTGAGGGCTGAGGCATTAAGTCACCACAACCTTGCCATTCAGGCTCTTTCTGCAGGCAGTGTAATAAAAAAAGGTACAGCTCTGTGAATGTATAGCATTTTCCTGTCCTACTCACTGGGTTTTTGCATAGCTGTGTGAATTCCAGTCACAGTCTGCCCTTTATAATGGACCATCTCCTGGGAAGCAGGAAGGGAAACACTTCCAGGAAGCCCAATTTTATAGCATTTCACACCACTTGAAGCCTTTTACCTGCTGTGGCAGAGTGCTCCATTTGACTACGCTCAGGAGAAAAGGCAACCAGGCTTTTCGGCTGCAAATGCAAAGTTCCCGTGTTGCTGATGAAGTCACCTCCAAGGTGACTCCTTGGGAAGAAAGACACTACATCAAAAGGCTGCCTGGGCTTGTTGGGGAACCTGTGCTGAGTCAGCTATCAGTGGGGCAGTGGCCCGATCCAGAGCTATTAAGCACAGATCTTAAAAAACAGATGTGCTGGGGAGAATGTGCAGGTTATTTTCTCATGTACTGTGCATTCTAAACTACTTCCTAAACCCCCTGTGACATCAATCTATCTTGTGAAAATAGAGAACAGGAGAAGTTGTGGCCTTGGCCATTTAAGGAACCTTGATTATTGATTGAGCTGGGTGTTGCATGTAGCCAAATATATTCCAGTTAGCCAGGACCCAGTTCGAAATGAACATGCAGGGCTCCTTGTTGAAAAATTGTTACGAATCGTGAGGTAGCCACAGCGGAGCATTCAACCAAGTGACTGCACAGCCCTGCACCTAGCTGTCCCTCTTAATTTACCCTGGGAAGCAGATCTTTGAACAGTGGCAGTTGAAATGGTGTATGGTGGGTTACATTTAAAAATCTGCGAGGTTGCCTAGCAACTGACTGCAGGCCTGAATGGGCTGACTTGCAGGTTTTGATACACCATCTTGAAAGTCTAAATTCATGGCAACCTTCTAGTGGACTGATAATTTTCAAGGGAGAGTAATATCGTGTGAGATGGAAATAGGGAGGGCGAGGAGGAACAATTTTTCTACTCATAACCCTGGATGGCTACCTTGTCATTTTCCTTGTTCAGTCTCCTAGGAATAAGACTGTACATAAGTGAAGTGCAAGTGAAAAGGAAATTCTAGTTTCCTCAGAAACAACAATCTATTTCCTTCGAGGAAAATGAAAATGTGAATAAATATTGTTGAGCACATTCATTTAGCAATTCAAAGGGGCGATATCAGAAAACTAATTCCCATTCACGGGTAATAAGTGCCTTCTATCTAGTAGAAAACAGATGAGTGAGAGATGGTTTTTATTCTGAAGGAACTTACGATTATATGAGGACATTGGGATAAAAAAGAATTAGCAGTGCTATGTCTTTAAAGAATTGAGTCCATCATTGCCTGATTTTCTCTCCTTGATGTTTTATAGGGTCCTTGTGCTGCAGAATCAGCACCAGCTCTTTTGATGGGGAGTAAGCAGTTTGGGCTTTCAAAAAACAGTCACATCGCAATCGCATTTGATGACACCAAAGTTAAAAACCGGTATGTATTTTTTTTTTTTTTTTTGCAATACTGGGTAAGAGCTGAAAAAATAATGGACTGAGGATTCATGTTTAATCAGGTTTAATAAACTGAATTTATTCATTAATGAGTCTAGGGTTTATGTCTTATAATTTATTCCCTACAGTTCTCAGTGAATTAAATTTGTGTGAGCCGACAGTGCGCAGTTTAAGAAATCAGTAGCCCTGAGATTTTACTCATGTGCCCATGATTGGATACCACTACACCTTCCTTAAAGAGCACTCTCATTTCCTGTTTGCCTTTACATTCTTTTTTTTTTCCCCCACAGCCTCACAATTGAGCTAGAAGTGCGAACTGAAGCTGAATCAGGCTTGCTGTTTTACATGGCTCGGATCAATCATGCGGATTTTGCTACAGTTCAGCTGAGAAATGGATTCCCCTACTTCAGTTATGATTTGGGCAGTGGGGACACCAGCACCATGATCCCCAGCAGAATCAATGATGGCCAGTGGCACAAGGTAATGGTCCCAGGCAAGTTGGCAGTACTCTCAGGTGGCAGCCATTGGCATTCCTCTGGTGCCAGTACCTTGGGCCAGTGGAGACACTCACCCTGGAATGTGCCGCCGGGCTAAAAAATAAAGCAAGTGTCTTATACAGCTGCCTCAACCGTAGAAAATGTGAGGAGACGAGTGAGTTTGTATTTGACCTCTTTGCTCTATGTCTGTGGTTCCAAAACATCTGTCAAGACAACAGAGTGTTTTCATCATCAAACTATGCATCCAGTTTAAAGGAATAGATTGAGTTTGAGATTACATTTTCCTAATTTGAAGTTGCCAAAAGACCTCTCTTTATGAAATAGTATCTGGCGAAAGTGAAAGTTGACAACATTAAGATAGGCCCAACACAGACTGCCCACCCCCAACCCCACTGTATACTGATCTGTGAGAACCCAAGGTCTGCCAATCTCTGTTCTATCATGTTTAAAGGGCTCCAAGGTATCGTTTCATTTGGAACAACTTCTAAAATGTTGGCCTTACCCCTGGAAACTGGTACAATAATGGGCACAGACGGCTCATTTGCCAGCCTACTGTCCTCTTTGGCAGGACTGCAAATAGATAATCTACTGCCTGATTAAAACAAAAACTCACAATTTGTCTCTGCACCTGTGATCGCCTATTAAGTAAAGCTTCCCTAGGCAGACCACTAAAAGGTTTTGCAAAGCAGGATATTATTGATGTTAGATTTGATATATTCACACTTGGACTTGTCATACTATATCGAAAGCCAACAAATCTGAAAAAAAAAAAAAAACAACACCCCAAAAATTCAAAGTCAACCAGTTGGTTGGTTACCTTAGAAATAAGAAATGAAATCTTTGTATTTGCTTGGGCACTTATGACATGCAATACTGTTTCTAATGAAGCAGCTCTCATTAAGGGTTATTCTCAACTCTGGCTAATAGTGTAATAAATACGACATGAGAAAAAGACATATTGATGGGACACAATGCGGCTTGGATTAAGAAAAGGACCTTAAATGCTATAATTAAGTCAAATTAGGGATGGATTTTATTTTTGAAGGTTTTAAAGAGATCACTTCCCAAACCAGAATAGAGAGCGTAAAATGAGGCGTTAAATTTCTCTAATCCTGATCCGGACCCATCTTCAAATCATCACTGTACTCCAGCATTTCATAGGCTTCCATGCTCCTTTTCCAAAAGTCAGATCAGAGAGTCTTCTAGGCAAGCCAGTCTTCACACCCCTTACTTGATTCTGTCCCAGAAGAGGATTCACTCCACCAGCATCATTTCTGCATCAGTCGGGTTTCCGTCTTCCTTCCTGACTTTGTGGAGGTCACCGCTGCAGGACTGGCGGTGCCTCTGCTACGCCCTGCTCTTCCATTCATTCTGTACCAGAGGGGCCCATTCGGCCATGGGATGCAACACATCCAAAACTGTGCTCTGAGTCCAGGTTTTGCTCAAACTTAGGCACTTTTCAAACTGCTCGTAGATTTTGCTAGCTCAGTTAACTCATGGCACTGCTATCAGTCTGCAGGTCTCCTTACAACATGCCTAGCTCTTGAAAACTATGCACATTTGGCAGCCTATAAACAGACTTCAACCAAAAATTTAAGCAGGAATTTTTTTTTTTAAAGTTCCTTTGGAAATGATAGTCCTAGAAGACATTGTTTGAGATATTAGGTAAAACATTTCCTTTTGCTTACATTGTGAGGTTAGCACATACCAGGTACTCTGTAATTTTACTCTTTGGAAATATCTAAAAATATTCTTAGGTCTTATACTCTGCAGGTTGGAAATTTGTTTAAGGTCAGCATTGATGGTTCCTCTTCTTTTTTGTAGATCAAGATCACGCGAGTTAAGCAAGAAGGAATTCTTTCTGTAGATGATGCGTCTAACAGAACCATCAGTCCCAAGAAAGCGGATATCCTGGATGTTGTGGGGATGCTCTACGTTGGTGGACTTCCCGTCAACTACACTACCCGCAGAATTGGTCCAGTGAGTGTCTGATAGCTTCTTTGTCGCCTAACGCTCTGGAGGAGTCATTTATTTGTATATGTATTTTACGTTACAAAAATCACATGGGCTCATGATCACTTATGGATCAAGAAGAAACTCCTGAGAAGTAACAGGTTTTCTAGATAAAGATGAGAGGTAATTATACAGAATACTCAGTGCCCACAAAGGAGCCAGACTCCCTCAGTTTCAATTCTTCCTTAACTATGTTGACTGGTAATGTGCCCTTGAACAAGTAATACATTTTTTTTAAAGGTTTATTTATTTGAAAGTCAGAGTTATAGAAAGAGGGAGAGACATAGTGAGATCTCACATCCACTGGTTCACTTCCCAAATGGCCATAATAACCAAGGCTAAGACAGGCTGAAGCCAAGAGCAACATGGATAACAAAAGCCAAAGCACTTGGACCATCTTTCCCAGGTACCTTAGCAGGGAGCTGGATTGGAAGTGGAGCTGTTGAGACTTGAACCTGTACCCATATGGGATGGCAGCATCGCAGCCAGTGACAACCCACGATGCCACAATGCTAGCCCCAAGTTATATCTTTCTTTCATAAAGTTCTTATACAAAATAGGGTAATGAAAGTGTCAAATCAAAACAGTTGCTATAAGGATTAAATGAGGATTTCATATGAGAGAAAAAGAGAATGTGTATGTGTTAGTTTTCATCTGTTGGTTCATCCCTCAAATACCCACAATAGCTGAAAATGAGGCACACTGAAGCTCCCTCAGTGCCGGCATCCCATATGGGTGCTGATTTGAGTCCTGGCTGCTCCACTTCTGATCCAGCTCTCTGCTATGGCCTGGGCCCCTGCACCCTCATGGGAGAACCAGAAGATGATCCTGGCTCCTGGCTCCTGGCTCCAGACTGGCGAAGCCTACTGGGAAGTGAATCAGTGGATGGGAGACCTCTTTCTCTCTCTCTCTCTCTGTGTAACTCTTTCAAGTAAATAAATAAATCTTTTAGGGGGAAAAAAGAAAGAAAGCACTGGAGAACAAGAAAGACGAAGATGATGTTATTATGTTGATGCCCTATTCAGAATACAGTTATCCAATTTTGGCTACAGAATTTGAAGTTCTCAATTTTATAAATCAATATTTACTGAGTAATTTTTTGCCAGGAAATGTGTCCCGGTGTGCTTTGGAACTCATTTTTCTGAGAAGCGCAGAGGATTAGAGAACACACTACAAATGTAATACAGTTCCATGCTTATATCAGAACACACGATAAAGCAGAGTTTTCCATTCATCCAAGACAATTGCCCATTACAGTTACAAATCCTCATCCTTTGGCTCCCCTTGTGGATCAGTGTGACTTTCCTTTTCCAGCTATGGATGTGCTACCTTAGTCTGTCAAAGCCAAGAGTCTCTGAAGTGATAGCGACAGACATGATTAACCTGAATTCCTAAAACCAGATGAAATAGGATGGAAAAAAATATGGTAGCATTATTTCTGAATTCCTTGAAACCCAAATGTTTCATGCAAACTTTCAAGTTCTATGTGGATGTGTCTTTCCTCAGGGGAGGGCTTATTTAATTTGCAAGAGGAAGAAGCACCAAACCAAGCAAAATTAACTTTTCCAATAGAAATTGAACACATATTACAATAAATAAATATATATATATACACACTAAGGTTAACAAACTCTTAATAGAAACATGAAAACAGGAGCATGAGACTAATTAAATGTTACAATACCCATATGGAGCCCACAGCTCTGTCAACCCAGTGGAAACATACTAAGGCCTGGCATTTAAGTGGTTACACTATCAGAATCATCATATTCCAAATCACATACACTGGAAGCACAAAATTTTCTTCCTTCATGCTGTGAAGCCTGGGCTGATAGCACAGATCCAGGCAGCTTCAAGAGGTACCCTCAGAGAACAAACTAATGACCACATGTATCAAGCACCCCACCAAAAAAAAAAAAAAAAAAGATTGCATTCCAGAGAAAGGCAAAGTTCTGCTAAAATGTGACATTTGTTTCTTCTGCCCTGCATACTCAGGTGACCTACAGCATTGATGGCTGCATCAGGAATCTTCACATGGCAGAAGCCCCTGCTGACCTGGAGCAGCCAACTTCCAGCTTCCATGTTGGGACATGCTTTGCACATGCTCAGAAGGGAACATATTTTGATGGGACCGGTTACGCCAAAGCAGGTAAGGCTCTTGCCTTTCTTTCTGGATGTATAAACTAGGTACAAGTACTGATCTCTTATTCAGACAGAAAAATAGAACTCCCCAAGGTCCTAACTAGAATTTTCTATTTAAATCAGAAATAAACTTACAGAGGTAATAAAAAGATGCCTCTTAAACATTTGTGCATCTATGTCTGATAAGAATGAAAAGAAGAATTAAAGTAAAAGTCTGTTTGGTGGTTTTATTCCATCTCCTTCACTGCAGGTAGTAATAGCAAAATCAACATTCTGTAAGAAGGCTCGCATGTTTATACTTTGTCGTACTCTACCATCCAGTTCTCTTTCTGGAGACGAGTTACTGTTTTTGTTTCTTTTTCATCAATTCCTGCCATAGTTCACTTCAGGATCCAACTGCACACACATACACACCCACACACACATTCAGCGTACACATACTGGTTCCCATTTCTTTTTGATGATAAATAGCTGTTTTTGACCTGGCTTTCTGTAAATATCCTTTCCTACTATAGATCTAAATCCCTAGTCATGAATTCACAGCTTGAAAAGAAAAATAGGAAATAACTTCTACATAATCAGAGAAAAAAATCGAACATATTAAGATATAACATTCAGACTCATGACTATCATAGGTTTGTGAATTTGTTCACTGAAAACAAAATTAACACACATATAGTACCTAGAAGTTATTAAGGGAAACACAGTGGTAATAAGATACAATTATTTCCTTCAAAAATATCTTTTCAAGGAGCTAGCATTTAGCCTAGCAGTTAAGATACCCGCATCAGAGTACTGGGGTCCAATTCCCCACTCTGGCTCCTGGTTCTACCTTCCTGCTAATGCAGACCCTAGAAGGCAATAGTGATGCCTCAAGTAATCAAGTTCCTCCCGTACACCTGGGAGAATTAGACCTCGTTCCCAGCTCCTGCTTCTGCCTCAGCCCAACCCTGTCCACTGCATGCATCTAGGGCATGAACCAGTGGATGGATCACTTCTTTCTCTCTGCCTCACTAATAAATAAATTATATATGCCCTATATATGCTATCAATAGTTAAGATGTTTTCTCAAAAATAACCAATAAAATGGCTCAAAACAAAAAGCCATACGAGCCAGATTCTGTAAATGTTTAGAAGAATGATTAATTTTGGTTGAGGAAATCACAAGACGTTTTGTGGAGGGATTGACATTTGAGCTCAAATTTAGTAGAGAAGTTGAACACCCCCAGGCAAAATTTGTGGGAGGTGGAATAGTAGGACCGAAGTGGGACCTCACCTTTGCAGAAGCAGAATACAGGAAAACACAGGATAGGTTAAATATGCAAACACTGAAGATTCTGTTGAGCCTCGAGTTCCATGTGTTGTGAAGGTCCAATAGCTTTCCCAAGATTGTTGCAAATTCACAGATGGCAAGCATTCTCCTGTTCAAATTTGATTTGAACTTCAGCATCTGCAGCATCCTGCCTGGGCTCTTTTGGTTCTGGATTAAACTGGAGCAGAAAATTAACCACTTCCCCAGTTTCCAAAAGCTCCTGCCATCTCATCAACACACACCATAATACAATTTATATGAGACGTAGGCGGTGGTGGGGAAGATTATTTCACTGGGAAACATACAGTTTCAATTTAGTGTTTGACATCTTTGTTCTTACTAGCTCTCAACTCACCCAATCGCTGGGGTTTTTATCGGCTTCTTCATTTCCTAAGTCCTCAGTTCAACTGCCTCATGTCATTCCTCTCTTTGCCCTCCTTCCTGTTTTATTTAATAGAATACTGCTTCTTCTACCCTTAGCTCTTAAAAATCGGCTCCAAATCCACCTTTGCCCATCCAAACCCATGAAGGTGCTCAGCAAAACCAGTCTTTCATGTAATAGGTTCCATCCGTCATTGGAGACAGCTGTGGTTACACAAAACATTTACTTATTGCCTAATGAATGGCATGGGGAAAATTTCTATGAGCTCTTTCATAACAATTGATGTGGTATAGATGTATCTTAACAAATGATATTTTTTCTGAGTCATAACTTAAGTACTTGCTAAAAGATCAAACAAATCAATGAATCAAATATGGGCAACTGTAGATTAAACAACTAAATGGATGAAGTAGAGAAATCTGTTTATGTCCCAGAACCATTCTAACAAAACTGTTCTTGCCATTAGTCTATTAAGATTTTAGAAATTTTTAACCCTTTCAGATCATTATGGAACCACTTCAATTACCCCAATTGTACTAATTGCTGAAAAGTTTTCCTTAATCCAACAGAGACGTCTAACATTTACCTGGCTGTGAAATTCTTTGTGTCCATCTCAGTGTTTATTCATTTATTCAACAACTATATATTAAAACTCCATTATGTACTAGATTACTTTATTGGGCACAAGGTAAGATGGCGAGAAATACAGACAAAATCTCTGGCCTATAAAACTTACTTTCTGGGAGGGAAATTGACCTAGAAATAAAGCAATGGATATAAAATGCAACATGATGGTGGAAGTATAGACCATATGCAGGGGTGGAATTTACAACCCTCATTACAATTGACTAGCATGAATTGCAATCCGGTAACACTGCATTGCACACATTTGAATGAAAACTCTTACACTGAACTCCACAATTTTTTTTTAATCTTCATTTTACAGTTGGTGGATTCAAAGTGGGATTGGACCTTCTTGTAGAATTTGAATTCCGCACAACTAGAACCACCGGAGTTCTTCTGGGAATCAGCAGTCAGAAAATGGATGGGATGGGAATTGAAATGATTGATGAAAAGGTAAGCGGCAGCAGTGCAGACACTTGTGATTTCTCTGTGGCACTGTCCATACACGGAGAACTCCATGTTGAAGCCCTGCTGTATTCTTTGTTGGCAGGAAGTTAGATCATATCTTTTGAGCCTTCTAGATTATCTTAATCTGTATGTGTTTCAAGCATAATTCTTTGTGGCACAGCATATACTTTGGATGTATTAATTCTACACAAGCCAGTTAGGTTGACTATTGCTGGACCAAATGGTTTTAGATTCCAAGCTCATGCAGTATTGCCAGAAGTACAGTTATTCTCTTTATGAACACACAGTCTAAGAAACTATTGATTCCAGTAGAAGCAAAGGTAGAGGCAGCTTGAATCATTTAAAATCAGTCTGTTTCTTAACAGGGTAGGCTTCTCTCGGGAGTCAAAGTAACATGAATTTCTCAATTGCTATTTAGAACATGCAGATACCATTTCAAAAAAAAAAAGAATTCATAAAAGGATTTTGTCACTTTGCCTACAATGGATAATCTAGAACATCTATGTAGTCCCTGCAATGCAAGGAACAACACCCTTCAGTGAGATGATCTGTTCATGCATACTTTGTATCATAAATAAGACAGGCAAAGCAAGGCATTTCACACTTCTACAAAAGTCCTACTTCAACTCTGTCTCCTATTTCCACCTTGGGGTGCTGTTGCCTTCCAAGAAGAAAAACCACACTGGGACCTCAAACGAACTTTCCTTGCTCCTCCCTCCTTCCCCTCAGTCTTCAAGTCATCCTGGAAGGCAACCAGGCAATATAGACAAACTAAATGAAGAAAAAGTCCAGGAGCTTAGAGATGAAAAAAACAAAAATTAACAAGCAAGCAGTACTTCATAGTTTTGCCAAGTTTTCAAAACATACTTTTTTACATCTTTTTTTGAGTACGCTTCATTTCCTCATGGGCTTCTAGCACAATTAACATTCCTCAGCAAACCCCTTTTACGTGCCAAGTCTTGTTCTTACAAACTCCACTCAGTGAACTCTTCATTATATCAACTACATAGGTTGCAAACTTTTCACTTGTTTACTTGACTTTCCATCTTTTTCAAAACCCTATTTTGTTTCTTTTTACCTTGTGAAACATGCTGCCAAATTGACTGATGCTTTTAATATTTCAATACGTTTCTTTTCTTCATCAACTTCAAAAGAATTCTGTCATCTCAAATTTCAGGGGCCTTTTCTACATTACTAAAAACAGATTTTTCTCATTTAAGCAAGAACTTCTAATCTAAGTTCTTCATTGTTAGGCATTTAACTGGCCTTTTGGCTCAGGTCTCTGGCACCTGTGACATGAAACATGCTCCAAAAACTTAATTTATGTAGCTCTCAATCCTGTATATAAAATGAAATCCATGCAGGAAAAAATATGCAATTAAAACATCAAAAGTTTAATTTAGAAAAATCCTTTAAAGTGAATTTGTAGACCAAATTAATGAATCACTTTAAACAACATCTTTTAAGAATATTTTTATAAGGTTCACTCTGAACTGTTGTGCTCTCAAGAGTTCTGTGGTAGAATTTTTCTCTGTGAATACTACCAGGTCCTTCATTTGTCACCTGGCAGCTCCAACTTCATACATTTCACCACTTAATCCCCAAAATGGTCAAAACCAAAGAACATAATTTGTGACTTCTAATGATTAAAATTGTATTTAACTTCTTACGTTTTTAAAACATTTTAATATGCCACAGTGATGTTCCCTTCTAATGATTCCTGGAGACTTGATCATTTTAGCTACTGGAACCATCAGACAGCCCCTCTAATGGAGCCACCTGTACCATTTCCTGTCTTCTAGCTTATGTTTCATGTGGACAATGGCGCTGGCCTATTCACTGCTATCTATGATGCGGGAATCCCTGGGCAGTTGTGTGACGGACAATGGCATAAAGTCACTGCCAACAAGATCAAACATCGCATTGAGCTCACGGTAGATGGGAGCCGAGTGGAAGCCCAAAGCCCTAACCCTGCATCTACCTCAGCTGACACAAATGACCCTGTGTTTGTGGGAGGTTTCCCAGGTGAATATTGGCTACAACAGCAAGAATTTGCATGCTCTGTTATGCTAGTGGCTTTGAAAATTTTTACGTTTATGTATAAGTATGTTCAAGAATGTGTGTTTCAGTGTACTTGCTTCACAGCCTTAGAATCTACTCCCATAAATAATACTTTACCTGAAATTTCTAGGGTGTAAAATGATATTACTTATATAAACCACCTGGGATTGACCCTTTTCATGCTAGCCCCCAGTGCTTCATTGGTGCAGACATGCAGGCTAGAGGAAATGAATTTGGCCTATAAATGATATGAGGCATTTAACAGCAATTGGGACCAATGTTGGTGTTCTTTCTGATGCTTTTAATATTAATATTCCAGCAGAATCATAAAATGTTGTAGCAGTTATTTCCTCAAGTTCTGGAAATCACTGGGTTAAATGTAGCTAATCCCCCCCCCTTAGGTCTTTATAGAATTTATATTTCAGTGACAAAGAAACCCAAGCAATAAATGTGCGTTCAAAATCCTCCTGCTGCACATTAAGTGTAGCAATGTGGACCACAGAGTCACCTAAAGTGCCCATAAAGAAGAGTAGCTAACCTGATGGGACATAAACCAACAGCCTCTTAATAATCACAGTAATCACAGACTCCTGAAATATGCTGTCCTTATTTTGGCTTTGTCCCTATTTATATGAAGCTCCTAGGCTTCCCACAACAACTAAGATGTTCAGCCGTGCTCACCAGAGCAAGAGATACAGATGTAGGAGGGGCTACTGAGAGCTCCTCTTCTCAAAGCTGCTTCTGGGACTTCCAAAGACCTCCTTGTGCTTCAAGCAGGATCAACGCCAAGATTTTATGAAGGCAGATCATGGGCTCTCCCTTTGATGGCCTATGACGTGGGACCCTGCACACTCTCTAGTAGGCATGCCGAATATGGGGCCTCCTGATAAGAGGCAAGATTTTATGTGAGCTTCCACTTAACCTATTGGGATGTAATCTTATAATACAAGAAAACAGTGAGGTCACCTATAGAAACGCATGTCCCGGAGCAAGTGTTGTGATGCAATGGGTTAAGCCCCCACTTCAGTGCACCCTGGGTTGGGCAGCAGATGATGCCAGTGCTGGGGTTCCTGCCACCTACATGGGAGACCCAGATGGAGTTCCTGGCTCCTAGCTTCAGTTTTATGGGCATTTGGGGAGTGAACTAGAAAATGCAAGGTCTTGGGTCTCTCTCTCTCTCTCTGTGTCTTTCTCTTTCTCCCTCTTGCCGCCCCTCTTTCTGTGTCCCTCTGCCTTTCAAACAAATTTTAAAAGTTCAGACATAACATATGTCCTAATTCAGCATTAAAAGTATTTGATAAATTGCTTTGTTTCATTAAATATAATTTTATAGGTTAAGTCATTATTATCAACATTTTATTCCTAACCAAATAGTTGGCTTAACTTAAAATGCGTAAGACCAAACGTTTACATATTTCACAATTATAGTTAGTATTTTTCCACAAATCTGCCAGTAAAGCTAAACACAAAATCACTAACTTTATGTAAGACCATGTCCCAGTTTCATTGCAAGCCAGCGGTTGACTCTGAAACATGCTCTCAACGTTCTGGTCGGCAGCATGTCAAAATGAGCCCTCGTGTTTGTTTTTTCAGATGGCCTCAACCAGTTTGGCCTGACCACCAACATTCGGTTCCAAGGATGCATCCGGTCCCTGAGGCTCACCAAAGGCACTGGCAAACCACTGGAGGTTAATTTTGCCAAGGCCCTGGAACTGAGGGGTGTTCAACCTGTGTCATGCCCAGCCAATTAACCAAAATAAGTTTCCCCTCCAGAAGGGTCTATCAAAGCAAGTATAACAAGTACCATAACTATATCTACCTATGTATGTATTTTAATAAAACTAATTTGTGCACGTAGATAGTCTTTCTGTACTCAGATGGTGCTAATTCACAATCCTACACTGAATTCTAATTCAAATCACTTCTCAAGTCTATGAATATTAAAACAATTATTGCATTCTCAATAATTGCTTGTTTTGTGTGTCTTTAATAATAAAAAGCAACTGACCATAAAGTGCTGGATTTGCAACTTGCCCTGGAATCATCAAGGAAAAGGGTACAGATTCAATTTGGCAAAGGCAGTCTTTTTTTAAAAAATAACTTATTCCTAGTAATACTTTTATCATCCTTTTCCATGTTTGTCAGCTTTGGCTTGCTGTCCAAGCCATTGAAAACAAGTGGATTTGGCATATGTGATTGGGAAGAAATCGGCTCTCTTACTCTGTGTGTTTGTAAAAGCATTAGCAAACCATTTCCCTGATCCAAGTTCATTATTAGATAGTTTAACTAGCCATAGGAGTGAATACCTTTTTATGCTGAAGGTAGAAAGTATAGATCAGATCCAGGCCAGAGAGCTTAATCACTTGATTTTCTTGTTTGATAGTGATTTATAGGCTTTGGGGAGATCCCAGAACCACACTCCAGAATGCCAATTAAGTACACATTTGATGCCACAGTATTAGACTTGGGGCTCTTGAAGTGTGCAATGACAATCACAATCTATACTTAGTTGGAAAGGAATGATGCGGAAATATATTTTTACTTACCGAGAAGCAATGAACCAGAAACTTAAAAGGTATGCTTCATTGAATCTTTTTTAGTTGTAGTTGCACCTAACAAATTCACTTCCTTGAATATTTTTGTTTTTAGTTCTCCTTTTACCCTCTCTTTCAATCAGCTTCAAAGGGTCTGTGGGAAGAGTAGCCCAGATTTTATTCATCAGCTTAAGAAGGAAACGTTTTATTTGCCATGCTCGGTAGAAATGGTTGCTGTCTGATAATTCAGAACACTTAAAGTAACAAGAGACTTGCCACACTATGGGAATTTTAGCAAAAGAAGAATCCTCTGTGACAAAGTTATCCACTGTGGGAAGAGATAGCTGCTTCCAGTGCAGATGGTGTCTACCATAGCCTTAGCATTTTATCATCGACGACTCCTCAGTGCATTTGTCACAAAATGTCATCCTAGAGCAACCTGTTACCAACCTTCGCTCCATTTTTTGGTAACTGCCAGGGAAATTTAAAAGCCCTGGTGCCTGTCCAGTGATTCTGATTTGGTCTGGAATGTAGCCTGGGCTACATGAAGATTATTAAATACCTCCCCAAGCAATCCCATTGGATATTTGAGAACAAAAACCTAAGGAGAAAAATCATTCACCACACCAAGAAAGAATCTTATACCGATCGAAAATACTGTTGTAAGCATTGTCTTGACCAGTTCATACACATAAGATAGTTATATTGAATCTAGTTAATGTTTTGTAAGCAACCTTTAAGCAATGACACTATTAGAAAACCAACGTGCTTTGAAAGTGAAAACATTATTTGTACACTTAACACTGATACAGATTTTTGGGCTTTTTCTGGATACTGAATGGGTTAAACAGAAGTAAAGAAGCTAGCTTCCTTAAGTTAAAAACAAATGCCTTTCTTTCCCGAATCCTCCACCAAGAGATACATAAATTTGGAGACAAAGATTTTTTTTTTTTTTTTTGGACAGGCAGAGTTAGTGAGAGAGGGAGAGAGAAAGGTCTTCCTTTTTCCGTTGGTTCACCCCCCAAATGGCCGCTACGGCCAGCACGCTGGGGCCGACGCGCTACTCCGATCCGAAGCCAGGAGCCAGGTGCTTCCTCCTGGTCTCCCATGCGGGTGCAGGGCCCAAGGACCTGGGCCATCCTCCACTGCTCTGCTGGGCCACAGCAGAGAGCTGGACTGGAAAAGGAGCAACCAGGACAGAATCCAGCACCCCAACCAGGACTAGAACCCAGGGTGCCAGTGCTGCAGGCAGAGGATTAGCCTATTGAACCGTGGCGCCAGTCCGGAAACAAAGATTCTTAATGGCATGCCAAGATCAGTTTTTAGCTAAATTCCTTTAAATAGCAGAGTTGGAAGCAACCCTTGAGGTCAACCGACAGAGACTCAACTCCAACATTAATAGAGCCTTGGGTACTTAAAAACAAGATCTAAATCTGGGTGTCACCTCAAACCAACTAAACTGTAATCTATGAGGGCTCTAGCACTGGTAGTTTCTAAAGATCCCCACTGATATGTGCCTAAGACTGCAAACTCCTGGGCTCCTACCACTTCCACATTGTGTGAGGAGGTGGAAGGCAGGCAGAACCCATGGAATGCTCAAAATCCCACAGTAGCAATGCTCTCTCATCTAGTACCAGAAAAGTTGTGTCGAGACTGAGGCAAAATTCATTCATTGAATTAGCTAGCTTTAACTAATTTGTGTCATTCAAAATCTGTAATCCAGAGCAGTCCATGTATTTGTTACACTTCAGCAAATCTTTTCTAACATTTTAAGATCAGCAAGACAATTTTTTATGAAAGGGAAAAGTCTCCCTAGCATATTCCAAATAAATTTTCTACCTTGAAAAATCAAATTTTTGGTCTCAAACAAAACATTTTTCTCACTCAATCCTACCCCCTCAGTAATTTCCTCACCTCATGCCACCCACAACAATCACAAAGAAAGCAGACTACCCTTCATTTACTTTCCAAAACACCACCCCTACCAGATGACAGCATTTTTTTAAAAGTGTTTTGCACTTAGAAGAAAAATATTTGAGATGGGACTTTTATTGAAGTTACAATAATGAATACTGCTGAAAAATGAAAATCAAGTCACCAGAACACACTCTTAATATTTCAATTTGCAGATTTAAAAATCATTACTATGTTAAAAAATCATAACTATTTTCTTCTCTGATTTAGCCTATTGTCCCCAACTAGAGATCTTTCTAGAGTTTCTTCTTAACAGAGGAAAAGACTACTTTAACTTAGGGGACAACTCTTGATTTTATGCAAATTATTTATGATATGATATTGACAGCTATGATTATCGTAAAATCAAAGCAGAGTAGTCCATTTTTGGAAGTAGTGTAGAATTTGTTCTTCACAACCACTTGCAAAGAATGCAACTTTTTTAATCTCACGTTTAAATGTTTTTTTCTTTTTTTTTTTTTTTCTCTTTTCTTTTGACAGGCAGAGTGGACAGTGATAGAGACAGAAAGGTCTTCCTTTTGCCGTTGGTTCACCCTCCAATGGCTGTCGTGGCCAGCACGCTGCTGCCGGCGCACCGTGCTGATCCGAAGGCAGGAGCCAGGTGCTTCTCCTGGTCTCCCATAGGGTGCAGGGCCCCAACACTTGGGCCATCCTGCACTGCACTCCCTGGCCACAGCAGAGAGCTGGCCTGGAAGAGGGGCAACCGGGACAGAATCCGGCGCCCCGACCGGGACTAGAACCTGGTGTGCCGGCGCTGCTAGGTGGAGGATTAGCCTAGTGAGCCACGGTGCCGGCCTAAATGTCTTGTAATATATTTCTTCAAGACAGAGATACGGCCAAATTTACTTGCCCAAGATTAGTGCAAAACTCAGACCCAAAGAGTACCTGGAGGAAAGGATACCTGAGGCTAGGTCCCCAATTTCAATATTATTTTGGCTTCTTGACATACAGGATGATAGCTGATATTCACTCTAAGGCACTTGTGAGAGTTACCTAAGTGAACATGACATTTGTCCCCAGTACTGATATGAAACTCTTGATGAGCTGAATTGTTTCCCCACAAAATTTGTGTGTTGAAGCACTAACACCCAAGACTTTAGAATGATACTATATCTGGAGCTAGACCCTTGTAAAGAGGTAATTAGATGAAGTGAGATGATATGACTGATATCCTTATAGGAAAGGGGCTTAGGACATAGACAGACATAGAAAACCATGTGAAGACAGTTAGAAAAGGCCAGCTACAAGCCAAGGAGATAAACCTCCATAAGAAACCAGCCTGCTGACACCTTAATCAGAATTGTAACAAAATGAATTTCTATTTCTTATACCACCCAGTCTGTGGTACAGCTGTTTCAGCACACCTAAAGCATCTCTTCACTAAAAGTAAAAATTTAATTACTTAAAAACAATCCATTTCATGTTTCCTAAAGGATGGTAACATATACATCAGGGAAATCCATTTTTTCAAAGAATGATTATTATCGCTTATATAATGTTTGGTAAAAGGTTGGGGCCAAAAAAATATTCACAGCATGGTTAAATCAAGGAATTTATTTTAAACCTTCTTGGGGACATTAGAAATAGCTACATAGCAATTATAAATCCAAGAACCAATGTTATATCCCATAATACCACTTCTTAAACTTTTTGGCAGAATGGACTCTTTAAAGCTGCTTTGTATATTTAGGTTTGGAGAAGTACTCTTGTACTTCTGAATTTATTTAGAACAGCTGTCTCCCTGAAGCTCAGTTCTTTTGCAAGAACACACATAGTGATCCAAGATGCATTAGAGATGGTGAGGAATAATACAAATACTGATAAATTTTGAAGGTGGATTAATGTTTCCTGAAGGATTGCCTATGGGTTGTGAGAAAATAAAATAGATAATTTCTGATCTGAAAAAACAGAACTGTTTTAACTGGGGGGATTGGAGTGGTTGATGGAGTAAGCTTTTTCTGAGAAAGAAAACTCAAAATTCAGACATGTTGAATTTAAACTATTAAGTATCTAAGTGTACCATATTGTAGACAGCTGAATATATGAGTCTGGAATGAAGAAAAGAGATTATGAAAGAATGAGAAGGCAGAAAACGCCCTAGTAATAGTGTAAAGGAGCTCCAAAATAATAGGAGTACTTATTGAATAATGGCAAGACCAACTCTTTATTTACCAGTAAAAAACTGAATGTAAATGGCTTAAATTCTCCATTTAAGAGATAGACTGGCTGAATGGATTAAAAACAATAAGACCCATCTATGTGCATACATCTCACCAACAAAAGATGCACACACAACTGAAAAGGAAAGAATGGAAAGAAGATAGTCCATGCTAATGGAAATCAAAACTGAGCAAATGTAGCCATCCTAATATCAGACAAAATAGACTAAAACACAACTCTTAAAAGAGACAAAGAAGGTCACTATGTAAAGGTTAAGGGATCAATTCAAGAGGAAGAGA